CCCCCCCCCCCCCCCCCTCCACACACACACACACAAGCACCACCACCTTAAAAACCTTTAGAAATTCAAGAGTAAATACATTAATCCTTGGTGCAGAGCAACCAAAGATGAAGAGCTAATTCGCTACCAAAAACTTTTGAGGGAAGAGAACCTGAGGAGTAAGGATAAGATTTTCCTATAAATCTTCAGTATATTGATGAAACCTATCTATCCTACATTGACATTTCAAAGTATATATTTGTTTTGTGAAATGTTTTGGTGCCTCAAACTCATTGTAGATAAAGATCTATCAATGGAAATTGAGAAGCTTCGAACTGTTGAACAAGAGAGACAGGATAATATCGTTTCTCGAGATTATGAAGATGAAAGTGGACGAAAAAATTACAATGGGTATGTTTCATCTCATGCGAGGAGGCGTCGTAGGCAATCTCTTCCTCTTTCCATTGAGTATCCAGTAGACGAGACATCCGCTGCTGCCGGGGAGGAAATCTTGGATGGTCTCTCATGCGAACCTGATAAAGATTTATGTAAGATGATAGAGGTTAGTGCTATCCTTGCAAATATCTGTGAGGGGTGTGGTAATGTTATGCATCCAAAATGTAATTCTTGCAGTTTCTATTTTGGTACTATGACACTTTTTATATTTCTTTTATTCCAGGCCCCGTGCCGTAGAAGACTAAAAAATGATTCAGGTATATCATAATACTGAATTGATCTTTGTCTGTCTAACTCTTGTATGATGGAATGCTTTAGTTAATGAGGCAACTGATGCAGTGAATTCAGTCTGCATGTTTCAAGAACTGATTGGCTGTATAGTCGGTATGAAAATATCACCACTCCAGGAAAATGAGGAAAGTTCAATCTCGGTCCTACACGAGCCAACTGGTAATAATCTTTAAAAAATTATCACTGCTTGCTTTAAACTTTTTAAACTAATCTAGGATCCTGACTTTATCCCAGTCCTTGTAAAAGATAACTTTGCAAAAAGAATATATGGTGGAAGAGATGGGACACACACACTCACATGTCAGAGCATCTTTTTTATACTCCCTCCTTCCATAAGAGTTCTCTTTCTGTTGTGCAATATGATGTTTGGTTGAAGTTATTTTCAATTCATGATTTATAAAAATTAGTGTGTAACTAAAAAATAAAAATTATATATTCAAAAACTATATTAAAAGATCTACAAAACTAGAGGTGGCATGACTATTAAGTTATCAAATAGGCAACAAAATTAGGCAAACAAAGCTTGACCTTGTGAATAGTGAATGAGAAGAAAATTTTTGGACGGAGAGGGTAGTTAAATTTAACATGATATGTAATTCAACATTTTTTTAAGTCTCTTTTTATGACAGTAATTCAACCCTCCCCATTGTAAATGTTCTTTTACCTTATTAGGCGACACGTATATTAAGCAGTGGACAGATATGTGCATGTTTCTTTATTTGGAAAGTGAATAAAAAAATCCAAATTCACAGTCGTTTTTATACATTCAGGCTATGCATTTACGTTGAAGTTGATAGACAGCTCAGGCGGGGGAGAAGCAGAATGGGTCTACCGACTATCATCGCTGGGAACTCTCAAGAGTGTCTCAACCAAATGGATGAGAGAAAGTGTGATCAGGTTCAGCACAAGTATGTGCCCCATCTTCTTCCAAAGGCTTTCCCGCGTTATTCTGCTCTGTAGTTAGTTGCTGGCGTTGCACTTTACTCAATCAATCATCTGACTGACTGTTGCCTTCTTCTTCTTCTTCTTCTTTGGATTGATTGCATGCATCTTCTTCTTTGGATTGATTGCATGCATCTTCTTCCCCCACTTTCATGTAAATACTCTTAATTTTTGTCTATCACAAGTGTACAAAGAGACCCTCAATTTCTCACTGTCATGTATGCCATTCATTGCCCTCTTTTATGTAGGGCCTCATTCTCTTTGGTTGTTTTCCTACCTATCGCTTATTTTTATTGGAATTATATTAGACCAGATTAGATTTGATCAAAAATAGTTTTAAATAATACGGAGTACTATAATTAGATCAAGCCAAAAATTATATGTTGATGATATCAACATATATACTCCATCTGTCTCAAAATAAGTTTAACAATTTGATTTCATGGAGTCTAAGGAAAATTTTAGAAAATGACAAGTGTGGTGATAATTTGTATAGAAAAGAAAATATTGGACTAAAGTTACATTGTGTTTTTTGTTTTGGAACATTTTTTGAAGGAAGACGTAAAATTTGTTTGAATGGAGGTAAAATCTATTTATTGGTTGATACTAATGTGGGTAACCATTCAACTTATTAAACTTGCAAGTCGTAGGCGACGTTACGTAGTTGGCAAAGAGTGCAAAGGGGTAAGGTTTGAATTCCATTTCTCGTAACTGCGCTGGGAAACAATTATGCTAAGCATAAGACATTTTCAAGTACCACGTTCAGGTTTGACTCTTTGTCGCCAATATGTGATCAAAGTCTAATTTATTTTCTCTCAGTGATCGTTTGGCCGGGTCTGAGGGAGCTCTCGAGAATGAGGCTCATCCATTTTTTATTAAACATACAAGCCTACACCACTTTTCTAAGTTCAACAACAAATCTTTTTAGAACATGATCTAAAACTTATTTAAAAATATTTTCTAAATGAAAGAATTCAAATAGCCCTAAAAAAATTAGATTAATTTTTTCGGTCTAATCGCTTCCATTTTCTTCATTTTGTTTATCATTTTTTTCTCAACCATACATTGGGAGCTGATTTTTTTATCAATCAGGCTTTTTTGTTTTTGAACGACTTTAAAAAGATGTACATATATCTAATGTTTAAAAATATTAATGTGACTAATTGTATTCTTCTCGTTTGTATAAATCTTAATAATACAATTTTTATTATGAGTATTAAAAATGAAATCACTCGAATGGAAAATGCTATTTTGGAAAAGAGTAGAATTAATAAATTATTACGAGTAATAAAGACACAAAGTTTAAGAGCAATAACAATTCAATATGAAGGTAATTAGAGGTCTATTCTCCCTCTCCAAATTTAGTAGTTCACTTTCTAAAAATCTCATTTTTAAGAAGAGAGTTCAAAATGTCAAATTAAGTTCTTTAAATGGGTTTGTGACTCATTCTTATATCTCCAACCTTTTTTTCATCATAATTTCTAGATTGAATATACAAAGTGAACAAATAATTTCGGACAAACAGAAAATGAGAAAATGCAAAACTAAATCTAGAGAACAGAAGTTGCGTTTTAGAGAGTGAATCCAAAACCACCTTAAGAGCTGCTTTTCAGATTTCGATTTGAGTCATGGAAAATGATTGTCTTATCCAAGCCACTATGCACATCTAGATCATTATGTGAATTAGTGAACCACTTAAAAGAGGGGAAAAAATCAATCCACAAACTACAAACTAACCAAAGCATGAGTTAATCTTTACCCTCACCAAAAACAAGAAGAAGAAAAAAAACCATTATTATGCTATACCAACATATGATCTTCAATTTAGGGGCAAGAAAAGAGAGTGGACATATATGGTGGCATCCGTGGGAAGGAAGAATCAAGTTGAATGTGTTCTTGACGCCCATATACCAAATACAAGAAACCAGAAGACGAACAATATTGCCCAGTAGCGTGCAGGTCCATACTGGATTCTCGTCAACACAAACTGCATTTATAGGAAAAAGCAAATGATTTCTATTGCAAATACATATCGATCAATTGTTTTCTTAATTCGGTCAACACCGACTGCATTTATAGGAAGAGGAAAGGTTGCTCCCACGTTGTATGAAGGAATAGCAACTTACAAAGCGGAAGAAGACTACAACTGTTAAAGCACATACGCCCCCAAGAAGAACATGCAGCCCATTCTTTGCAGTTTTCTGCACAACAAAAACACCCGTAACCAAGACAATGAAAAGGGTATATGTGTTGAACATATGTTGCGGCATTGAACGTTTCCTTGACCACCCATACGCCAAATAACGTTTACAAGGTTTCAAGACAAACAATTTTAGAAATGGACCAATAGAGAGAAAACAATATTTTTTTTATTACCTCTCCAACATGAGGAGCAATGAGCCAAGCAAGAGTTACAGTAAGTAGCCCTGTGGCAAGGAGGATCCCAGTACATTCTACAGCCCATTTGGTTGCATTATTTTCCGTTGGGGAGGCTTCATCTTCAACCATATCAAAAGTAGAAGGTTGTTCAGTAACAAGTGAAACAGCGGTGGCGTTGTTACGGGGATTGAACCACAATGAAATTTCACTCAACCTTAGCCTGCGAATAGCTGCAACAGCATCAGGATCTACGCTAGAAGAGTTTTCTGGAAACTGTGAAGTAATAGGCTCTCCATTAAAAGTTTTATCTCTTAACATATTATATGCTTTCAAACAGCTCACAACTTTATTGAAGTCCTCATCTCTTATGTGATTAGCTTTACACCCACATATCTCACAGATGGTGGATCCATGGTTGACAAACCACTTGAGTGCACATGCATAGTGTACAAGAGCAAGATCATTTTTGCAGTCACATCCAAGTTTAATTAATGCTCCCTGGTTATGGTAACCGCCTGTTTCAATATCAGCATTGCAAACAAAAATATCGCCATCAGGACCAATGATTTCAACAAACTTAGATCCCTTGTTAGCTTCGGTCATTACACTGCAATCATTTTCATCATCTTTTATTTCTTTGCTGCGATCATGTTGAACCTGCCTATTTATGTCCTGTGTGTTACTTGATGGAGGGATTATACGTAGAGTTTCCAGTACAGCATCTCCCATTTTGTCAGTTTCAGCACATTGGCACACCCGACAAGTTGGCAAGCTGGCGTCCTTATCCAGACTAACCCGTGATATAGTATAACTTGATTCTTCATTTGTGATAGGTGTAATGCCTACCCTTGTCAAATCACTGTCTTGGCATAAATTCCCACTTTCCATCACACATGAAGTTTACATCTATACTACTCTCCTTTCGATAGTTATTGCACTATGCATGAACATTTGAAAGCAATGCCTTCATGGATTTAGACAGTAGGGTGATCCCCTGTCATATTGATGTGGATAGAAGTCAAAAGTTAGAAACTAAACAACATTTCTGCATCAAACATAAATCACATAAGTGTGCTATCTTCTTGTGGCTTAAAAGAGGCCAGCCATGAGAAGAGAAAGCGAGGCTAGCAAAGATTTCCATAAATCATAAAAAATGACGAGGCAATCACTATTCTTTGTTAACTCAATTTTGGGTTCTGTTTGAGTGCAACCACAGATATTACAAGTTATAACTCACCAGTGTATTGTGTAGGTTCTTCAGTTTTGTAGATGTATATTACTGTAAGCTTGAATTGCAAATTCTTGAGTTCTAGCTGATTTGCAAATATATGGGATGTTGCAGGCATGCAAAAATGATAAACAATCTATGTATTAATGCAAGCACATTGGTTTCTAAATGTGATGCCATCATGTCAGGTGAAAGTTGTGGCAGTTTGTGAAAAATTACTGCAGTAGCAAGGATAAACTCTCATGCCTCATGAAGTCCAAGTGCATTCCACTTAGAAGAAACCAGAGCTACGAAAAATGAAATTTCAATACAATGACACTTGTTGGTGGAAAAATTAAACCTTTTGTTTTCCCTTTTATGTCATCTTTTTTCATTATCCCATATGCAACGACTCTGAAAATTTAAAGACTCTAAACCACATGGTGCATAACAAAAAAACTGAAAAAGGAGGGGAAAATGAAGATACTCACAGATGACTTAAGAAGACTGTTCGTTGAGTCATGTAGCCGACTTCACTGATTCTAGTTATTTAAGAGTTAAGATTAAAGCTTAGTTGTTGTTTTTTTATATCCTACAAGTGATTAGATACACATGGCCCATGTAAGACATTTACATTCAACTCCTTGTAAGCTAAGTGCAGGTCAATTTTGTAAATCTCATTTCAGGAAAAGACTATTACAGTTTCTATCATCTCCTTTCCTCATACCATATGCAACTGTTTCATTACACCATAGCTGAACTATCAGAGCGTAAGTTGCCAATTGGACTTCTTCGAATCACATAGTGCATAACAGAAAAGAAAGAGTAGGGAATGCAATGATACATATACTTTTTCCGCCCTTGGCAATTTGGATCACAGTTGATTTTTTATTGTACACTTTCAACAAGTGACAGTATAAGTGTATAACCATCGTCTTCCAAAACTGTTCAAATTGCCATAGCTGAACTATCAGAGCGTAAGTTGCCAGTTGGACTTCTTCGAATCACATAGTGCATAACAGAAAAGAAAGTGTAGGGAATGCAATGATACATATACTTGTGCCGTCCTTGGCAATTTGGATCACAGTTGATTTTTTATTGTACACTTTCAACAAGCGACAGTATATGTGTAGAACCATCATCTTCCAAAACTGTTCAAAATTTTCCTTAGCTGGTAGTCATCAAAGGAAGAGCCTCACTGGGTATGTTTGGTTAATTTTGGCTGGTAGTCATCAAATTTTCCTTAGCTGGTAGTCATCAAAACCCTAGCTCAGAGTGAGCTATACTGGGTATGTTTGGTTAATTTTGGCATAACTAATTTATATCAGCTTCTATCTATTATACATATCCAATATGCAACTGTCCCATTATACGTCCTCAGAGCATTAGTTGTCCACTTGGCCTTTCTAAACATGTTCAAACATATTCATCTATTTTGTTTTGATATAACTTCAATATGTGTATGTGGTGCTATAGCTGCTAATAGGAGAAGGATTCTCAAACAAATGGTTTTAGTACAACTCTATGCAAGTAACAAAATGGAGGTAGTTACACAACATGAACAGGAACCAGTGTTAATATTATTGATAAAAAGAACCAGTGTTAATACAAGCAACTGGTAAAGTGACAGTGTGATAGAATCAGAAAAGGTGTTATCCATATTACACATGTTCAAGTACCATACTACCATTTGTAGGAAAGTCCATCCTTATGACTAGATGGTACAATAGTATGGGGATTGGATGTTGTAGGAGATGGGGTAGTTGGTATAAATCCCAAACGAGGAGTACAACGACAACCTCAAGGAATAATATTGTGTCTGGGGGATCCAAGGATGCAATTAATGCATGGACAGTGGCCTTTGGGGGTTTTCACAAAAAACATCAGATCTATTAATGGTTCCTCCGTTCCCATTCTATTCTTCTTTTTTCTTTTTTCTTTTTTTAAATTTAGCTCATGACAATTTTTGCATTCTAATATCAGCAAAAGTAGTTGATGCATGCTACAAGTTTTGAGTTCGGAAGAATAAACGAACCAACCAAGCAAAATTACAAATGGGAACTTAGGGATCTTTTTTGTTTTCATTAGTCCTTAGTCTCTATATTTATTTACATATATGATTGCATTCAACACTAGTCCTTAGTCTCTATATTTATTTAGGTCTTGCTCTCTTCAGTTTCTTTTCTTGTTTTTCCTTAGGAGCAATTCTTATTTGAATCAGACCAAACATGATTTAAAAGATTCAGGATAAACAATAAAGAATATATCAAACTAAAAAGAGCAACCCAAATGCTATATTTCAGACAAGACCAGGAAACAAAAAGATTGGACAGGAGCATAAGTAGATGAATGATTAATCCCAGACTGAATTTCAAAGGGTTCAAACTAGATCACATTTATATACTATATTTAGAAGCAGAGGAAATCAGGTCCCATTTTTCCCGCCCAAAGTCTCTGGCACAATCCACCATTGACGAGCCATCAGTGATTAATCAACGGCTGCGGATTGAGCCGCATGTGTTAATCCTAGCGAAATTTCCTGACTCTTCATTTCACCTACATTAATGATTTATTGGGAACTCAGTCCCTCGCCATCCACATCTACTAACACAACAAATAGTGAAGTAAATTCTCATCTATTCTTTGAATACTTCAACCGCTTGCCCTTTCTCATCGTCAAGAAGAGTTAGAAGAAGCACAAACTTCTTCAGAAAAGATTCTATTTCCAAATTGAAAATCAAATAGGAATTTCCAAAAGATTCTATGGTTTCCAGATTTTAACAATTTGATTTTTCCAAAATCTAAGATTATGCTAGGCCGCAATGGACACCAGGTATGAAAATGGTCGTGGAACATTATGTTGGGTTATTCAGTGAAGGCTTTAGAGCTTTGGGCTTTAAGCCCGGTCGGTTAAAGGGAAGAAATATGGGGGGCCAGTTTTAGTTATTAATTAAAGGGCCCATTAGTTGTTTCTTGTTTAGCAAGTTGTTAACCCTAATTTATATCTTATAAATACCCAAACATGTAACTATAATCTGGGAGCACCTAATAAAAGATAAACCCTAGTTGCAACCCGTGGAGTAGGTTACTGACCGAACCACGTTAAATCTCGTGTTCTTATTTTCTGCTATTTGTGTGTGTGTTTGTTCGCTTCCGCTTGATCGCCTCTGATCTCTGATTCCTAACAAGTGGTATCAGAGCCTTGGTTTGGTTAAACACACGGTTACACAGGATCAATCGCAGGAAGAAGGCTGTTCAGGATTGTTTTTGCTGCTGTTTTGCTGCCGCAGTTAAGGGGCTGGTTCAGATCTGATCAGGGGCTGGTTCGGATCTGATCAGAGGCTGGTTCGGATCTGGTCAGGGGCTGTTCGGTCGGTTTTAGGTGAACTTGGCGATTAGGGTTTCTGGTTTTGGACCTGGTACTCGTTGGTTCGAGTTCTTTGTTTTAGGGTTTGTTTTCTTTTGAAGGTTGCTTGGTTTCAGGCCGTTATTCCTTGATTTTTTCTCTGGTTTTTTTTTCTCTCGTTTTGCAATGGCCGAGGACGGGAGGGTTCGAATCGAGAAGTTCAACGGTACTGATTTTGCATGGTGGAAAATGCAAATAGAGGCGTTGCTTGGTGAGTGCGATTTGGACATGGTACTGGAAGAGAAACCGGATGGAATGGATAAGGCTGCTGAAGCAATTTGGGACTCAAAGGACAAAAAGGCAAGAGGTAAAATTACACTAGCTTTGACGAGGAGTGTGGCGTTTAATATCATGAAGGAAACANTCGATCTTGTCGAGGTTGTCATCAGTAGGCATGAAGTTCGATGATGACACTCAGGCTGTGATTCTGTTATCTTCCTTGCCTGATAGTTGGTCGGGATTTGTGACAACGGTTACTGAAACTGCTGGAACAGGAAACTTGAAGTTTGATCGGATACGGGATAGTGTTTTGGGTGAAGACATTCGTCGGAGGAACGCTAGTGGAGGATCTACTTCTGGGTTACTCAGTGTTAGCAGGGGAAGAGGTAATAACAGAAACAGTGGGAGTCGTGGGAAGAGCTCGTCTAAGGCTGAAAAGAATGTGGTGTGCTGGGTCTGCAAAGAAGTTGGGCATGTCAAGAGTCAATGCCCAAACAAGAAAAACGAAATTAGCACAGTTGTTGGGAATGCATCTGATGATGATAGTGATGCATTGATACTCAGCATGGAAAGCTATGTTGACTCTTAGGTCATGGATTCTGGTGCTTCGTTTCACGCCATGCACAGCGGTGAGGCGATGGTGAATCTCAAAAAGGGAGACTTTGGAAAGGTAAAGTTGGGTAACGGGAAAATCCTTAAAGTGTCAGGCATGGGAGATATTGATCTAAAAACTTCATTTGGAACTACTTGGAGCTTACAAAATGTCAGGGTGATTCCAAGACTGAAGACAAAGTTGATCTCAGTCAGACAATTGGATGAACATGGACTAGACGTCAAGTTTGGTGGTGGAAAATGGAAGGTGATCAAAGGAAATTTGGTTATTGCTCGAGGCTTGAAAAGAGGATCGTTATACATGGTACCGGTGACGTCTGAGGGAGTGACCAACCCGGTAAAGATAGTTAACAAAGTCGGGCTCACTGAATCGGGCAAAGCTAAGAAGGTTCATTTTGCAAACGTGAATCTTGGAGTTTTGGGGATGAGAGTTGAGTGTGTTCGGAGGTCTGAATCAGGTCAGGGGTTTCGTGATAGTGGGAGCATGGGACGTGTTCCGAGTACAGTTCTGAAACGTCGTTGGGTTTTGAGAACCAAGAATCCGAACGTTAAAATCTCTCCTGGGAATAGTTTGCTGGATTTGGAGAGTGGTAATGGTCCTCGGTGTATCTCTGGATCCGGTGGATTGTGCAAGCCGGTTGAGACAGAGGCTGTGGCGGATACAGTCACGACTGGGTTGGAGCTCAGTGGAGCTTCAATTGTCCTTTCAGGTTATTAATGAAGGGGGTGGTTGCAACTAGGGGATATAACTGGAGTCTTAGCTTGTTCTTGGGAACTGGAGGCTTGGAGGACTTGACAGGACTTCACTGAGTTACTCATGATGGGTTTACTTGGATGGCATTTGTGTCTATGCGAAATCCTTCAAGTGGGAGATTGTTGGGTTATTCAGTGAAGGCTTTAGAGCTTTGGGCTTTAAGCCCGGTCGGTTAAAGGGAAGAAATATGGGGGGCCAGTTTTAGTTATTAATTAAAGGGCCCATTAGTTGTTTCTTGTTTAGCAAGTTGTTAACCCTAATTTATATCTTATAAATACCCAATCATGTAACTATAATCTGGGAGCACCTAATAAAAGATAAACCCTAGTTGCAACCCGTGGAGTAGGTTACTGACCGAACCACGTTAAATCTCGTGTTCTTATTTTCTGCTATTTGTGTGTGTGTTTGTTCGCTTCCGCTTGATCGCCTCTAATCTCTGATTCCTAACACATTATGGTTGTGTACTTTGAAATTTATACCCATCATTTTCGACAGCTGAAACACAGAGAGCATGCAGTGAGAGTGAGAAAGGGGAGTCCTCTGCTTCACTTTTACAGAGGGACAGCCACAGCAGCTAGAGTAGCTTCAAAGTCTTTAAAGGTGAGAAATCTAACTTTATAAAAATATTTTTCAAACTTTCAATAATATCTTTTCGAATCTGAGTTCTTATAATCTGAAATCTTAATTCCAGTTTTGTAATGTTGATGGTGTGTGGATATGTGTTAACACCAATTGCATATTATTTCCCGACAAAAATATAATAACAAATCACTAAGATTACTCAAATAGTTTTAGATGTATGAGATTATATTAATGTAGTTCAAGCTTTTTCTTACTCCCTCCGTCCCAGTGTATTTGTCCAGTTTGACTTTTTCGAGTCAAACTGGATAAACTTTGAGCTTCAATTAAATAAAAATCATAATGTATTTTAACATAAAAGTGTTGGATTTATCATATTGAGAACTTTTAAAATTGTATTTCATTATGCTAATATACAATATAAATTGAGAGTAATTGGAGTTCAAAGTTTGTCCAGTTTGACTCGAAAAAGTCAAATTGGACAAATACACTGGGACGGAGGTAGTATGTGCTAATGGGGGGGGGGGGCTATTAACCAAATGGAGTATAGATGTTCATTACGTAATTCAAAAAGGTTATCAATTTTGATTGTGTACTCTTGAGCATGGCTTCTGATTTTCTGGAGAGATAACTTGTACTCTCACTGTACTACTTTATGGATAAGCTCACCATGATGATAGTTCCATTTCATCTTGACATTCTTCTCCGTTCAGGTGAGAGTTTATTTCATGTCCAACTACTTTGAATTGAGATAGGATGAGTAATGACTTCGTCTGTTCCCATTTAACTAAATAGTTTTTTTATTTGTTCTAGAATAGAAGTGGTTTTTTCAGAATTTTCTTCCCACTTCTTAGATCTATGAGACAAGCAATAATGGGGTATTTTTAAAGTGAATAAAGGTGTGCAGAAGCTCTTGCTTAAGAGGATGAAATCCTTGAGATTTCATTATACATTTCATTAAATATCATATAAAAACTGCCCTTAATATTGGTGGAAGGAATACCATTAGAACATTATTTGATTAATACACTAGGCACATTTTTTTGCTCTTTGTAATTGCTTTTATAAACCCCAACGGACCAAGGGCTAAGGATATTTACTGAAGACCATAGAATCACAACCCATGTCACAAGGCTGCTTTTTTCAACATAAATTTGCTCATACAAAGCTTTATAAAAAAATTAAATGTCTCTCTTAAGTAGTTATGTGTCAACAACTCCTAATTGCCATATACAAAAATAAGCTCCAAAATGCCGATTAGCACCCTTTAGTCATAGGTGTTGAGTTTCTTCTATGGTTTACAGGTGTTGAGTTTACTCTGCAGTTTCCTGACCAATTTGCAGTAGGATAAATGGATAATATTATAATTCTTTATGTTACATTATAACATTAGTTTTAAGAAAAATTAAAAATCCAAAGTTCTTGACATTTATCTTAACATCCACCGCAAGATAAGCTAGGAAGATAAGCTGTGGAAAGCTAGGCTAGGTGGTTTGGGCATGTGAGTCGGAGGAGTGCTTACGCCCAGTGCGCAGATGTGAGGGACTTACGTTGGAGGGTGGGAGTAGGGGTAGGGGTAGACCTAAGAAGTATGGGGAGGAGGTGATTCGACATGAACTAGGACTTCTTGCGCTTACTGCAAATATGGCCTTAGATAAGAGCGTTTGGAAAGCTAGGACTAGGGTAGTCGGGTAGGCGCTTTTGAACACGTGACTACACTTGTTTTTGTGTACGTTGTTTGCTTTGTTTGTGTTTTGCGTGCTTTGTATGCTCTGTGCTTTTTCTGCTTTTATATGTCTGCTGTGCTCTTATATTGTATGTGTGCTACTTGAGCTAGGGTCTCTTGGAAACTGCCTCCCTACTTTCGAGTAGGGGCAAGGTCTGCATACACACACCCTCCCTAGACCCTACTATTGTGGGATCCAACTAGGGTGTTGTTGTTGTCTCATTTCTTATAAGTGAGATTTTTTAGAAAACAGAGAACTACATTTAGACGTAGGGACTATTCTAGAAAATATAAACAGGAAAGTGTTTTGAAATGATTGTTCTGTTCTTCCCCAATCAAAATGAGGAATTTTCACCAAATCAGTAATACATCATTGCTGATAAAAATTCAATCACAGAAGTGGATCCGATGGCAAATTAGCAACATCTAAGAACATCCACTAAATTCTCACCGAAGAAACAATTTTAAATCAATTAAATAGAACAATTTACCATCTACTTATTTTACAGTTTACACAGCACCCATTTATTTTATCTTACCAAACATATTTTGAGTTCAATGATAAAAACAAAACTGGCAAGGAGAGGTGCGAAAGTGGATTCTACAGAGAAGTGAATCATATTCACTCCGAATGCTTTACCGATAACCGCCTAGTTAATTATTAATTAATCGCAATAAAAGCAGGATGCAAAAAAAACGAGAAGGAAAAGAGAGCGGGGAAACCTTCTGCAAATTGCGAATCCGAGGCGTTTGAGCTCGCATAGACTAACAGAAGGGATAATCGAGGCTCAACGGAGAGCGCAGCAATGTCGCGATGGAGCAGAAGGCGGAGCCGCGAACACTGAACAGCCTGTACTGTGCATAAAGCGGCGGTGAAATGGGCATTTACTAATTTACTAAAATTAGTACTTTTTCCTAATTTGTACCTTTTCCTCCCTTCCCAAAAAAAAACATCCTAAAAAATATTTAGAAATCAGCTTAAATATGACTAAATCATAGACAAAAGTATCAAAATATGACTTTAATTTTTTTCCCTGAAATAGGATTTCACACTGTGGTAATGTAGCCGTGTACATGTGCACATTATTATACTTTTTTGATAATGTATATGACCATGTTTGGTAGTGTAAGTCTTATTTCGTGAATAAAAACATGAAAGTCCTATTTTGGTATATTTTCAATGTTTTAGTCATATTTTGGTCTTTCTCCCAAAAATATTTTTAAATTACAATAACTTTCAGAAAAATTATTTCGGGATATCCTTGATTTTCTGATAATAAATTTCAAGTTCTACATTATCTTAAATATATTTTGGGGTAACCTTGATTTTCTGGTAAGACCTCTCAGATTTTACATTATCCAAAATACTTCGTATACACCAGGGTTCTTAAAATGTGTGGTAATTTACTCCAATGGTACATTCCGTCTATTTAGTTATTATGATTGAAAGTTTTATTTCTTTGACACTTACTATTTTCTATTTGTACGTTTTCATCCATTATTTGATAAAAAGTATTTCTCTCATCTTTTATTTTGAAAATTTTTTAAATTAATTTTTAAATATGTAAATTTTATTAATTATTTCTATATCCATCTTTAAATAAAATGAATTGAAAAATATGACATTTAATTTCATTTTGCATAATATGGAAAATATTTTGAGACAAAAAATACAAAAATAAACTAGAATAACCAACACCGCACAATGTGTTTTGCACATATGCATACAGACAATAACTGGAGGGTCACATCTAAGTTATTAACTTTGACCATAAGATTAATGGCAATGTCAAAAAATTTGGATTAGCTGGCACAACACAAATTAGTAAATTATACAAACAAGACTTGCAAAAAGTAGCAATAAATGAATCATTTTCTTTTTACTCAAAAAACTACCTCAGTTCACATCAATTTGTTGACTAAACTGCCCAAATTCTCATCTCATTTCAAATTTTCAATATGAAGTGATTACCAATTCGCTAGTTGTCCATGATGTCCATCCATAGTAATTATTCTCCGCCTTTCAAATTTATTTACTTACTTTAATCTTACCAAGATTTAAAATAGTTAAGAATGAGTGATTAAAATTTACCTTAAAAGAGATGTATTTTGAACCATATATTTTTTTCTAAAGCAAGAAAATTGTTATGAGACAAAAGGAATATTCATTTTTCATTTAATTTTCAAGTTTTTTGCGTCATTTCTCCTTGAACTGTTCAAAAATTGCATGCATTTCCCTTGAGCTTTAAAAATTGCACCAATGCCCGAACTTTTAAAAGTGTTGCACCAATGATCCCTCTGTGCCAGATTTGAGAGTGCGATAATTACACGCTCATCCAGTGTAAAGTATGGAGTCATCTAAGGTCATATATCACACGTGAGTTCTGCAATATGCATTTCCTAAACATGATCTTTTATATTTTTAACCTCTTTAAATCCTAGATAATTATCCTCGATTTTGTATTTATTTTCTTAAAAACGCAATCGGTTTCAAAATTGGACTACGTTTCGAAAACAACCTGAAATTCAAACAGATACATTATTTCTTCCTAAATAAGTATTTTATTATCAAATCGTGAGAATATTTAATTTCTAAATCAACAAATATCCCTCTCAAATCAACCCCTACTCATGGACATTCATTGAACATTCCCCACTCATCCTTCACACCTTCTTGCCTAGACACCACCAAACATCAACCACATTCATCCGTCACTTCACTGGGTTTTAATAAATAGAAATGTTGTGATGAAATGACTTGGTTTACTCTCTCAAACACCCTTGCAAATTCATCAACAAAGTGACTCCATTCCCTTCATTCTTCACTCCCAACACTTAGAGAAATTCCTACAAAGTGGTCATCTCTCTCACCAAGCCCTCTTCCATCATTAATTGAGTTTTGAGTGAAAATTTTAGATAAGTGAGTATATTCAATGTTTATCAATATTATACTAGTTTTACTCTCTCGTAATGCTCGTTATCTCCGTGATGACAAGGTTCAAAGAGAAGACCTCAAGACTCGAAAGCTCGAAGTACACAGAGACAGTTGTTTATTGATTGTACGTTGAGGTGTTAGAATCTTGTCGTGTTCCTCTTCAGTCTTAAGGTGTGTACCCCAAACTCAAGTCCAACTTTATATTCCTTAGAATCTTTCGTAGCATATAGTTTTGTAATAATTACTACTATTACTGAAAATCTAAAGAATATGCTATGGCTCACACTCCTAAGACCTTGACATTAAAACTATGGTCTTTGGACTCTATGGAGACCTTTCACCATTGTGAAGTGCCTAAACTAAAGTAACATGTATTTTGTAAAGAGTTAAAGTGGACCTTGGGATATGGAAACTGAAACTAGGGCAGACCACTGGGCTCGACACGCCCAGTGGCACAATCCACCTACTGGACCACCTGTAGACAATTTCATCACAGGACCGCCAATAGTCGACCATGAGCAAGTGACAGTCTTCAGCCATGGACAGTTCACACTGCTCACGCTAAAGGATTAAATTCAACCGAGACCAAATGGTCAACTGTGCTCCCAAACAGTCAACCGTCACGGGCTCCAAACACTGACGATCCAACGATCGACCAAGGACCGTAACAGTTTATCATCCCGAACCCCAAACCTCTAAAAAATAAATTTGCTCACTTTAATCCATATTTTCTAAGTGTTTTTGATAACCAAAGTGATATTTTTGGACAATTTAAACAAGATTATATCTATTTCTAAGTTATAAGGCTTGAGTGTATAGATGTGGGCAATATTAGGAGTTGAGTATGTAAGTACATTAGGTCTGTGAATTGATCAAGCAATCGGGGATCCCTCAATAAGTGTGTCCGGAATCAGAAGGGTATTTATACCTAATTTGAGGAAGGCCACAGACCAAATTCTAAACTTGAAGAGAATGGTGCTCTGACCCAAACTCAGACAGGAGAAAAATCTTATCAGGCCTTTTTCAACAGAGAATGAATCTACATGATGGAAATGATAAAAAGGGTAGATTAAGGGAATAAAGCTTATATTGTGACATAAGGATGATTTTTAGAAAAAAATATTGACTTCTTCAATCATTTGATTTGATGGTATCAATGACGACTAGGTATGTGATTATGAATTATTCTTTGAGTGTGTGGTTTTCTTTGTTGTGTGACTGTGCGTAGCTAAATAGAATAATGGAGGCAATCTCGAAAGGCATTTAGACGTGTTAGAATAATAGACCAACGCTAGAGGGGGGGTGAATAGCGTTTGATCGTAGAAATCGCAGGAATTAAAAAATTAAAAGAGAAGTAAAGAGAGGAGTAAGAGGCACACCGAATTTTACCCTGGTTCACCACAACTTGTGGCTAATCCAGCCTCCCGAGAGACTCTCTCGAGCTACACTACTATCTCTTTAAGCTTGCGGGTGCTTAACAAACCGTTACAACTTGAGAGTTCGAGTTACACGGACCTCAACGAGTCCTTCAAAGGAAACAACCCTTCCTTTGAATCTACCGAGAGAAATACTTTCTCTCAAAGTGTCTAAGAACACGAATACACTCAAGAACGAGGCTCTCTTATAGAGTAGATTATGAGTAACCTAAGTATGCTCAAGAACACAACACAAGCTTCACAAAAATGGCTCTAAAAAGCTATGGAAAAGAGTGTTGTTTGAATGCAATGAAAGTATGAATATTGTGAAGTGAATTGATGTGTAAAGCAGACCCAAACACCCTTTTTTATAGTGCCAAAATAGGCTCCAACGGATCAAAACATTTAAGGGGTGATTGACACAATTTGTGGGATTTGATTAAATTTGGATTTGCTGAAATTCACCCAGACAGCGCTGTCCTAGGCTTGGACATCGATGTTCTTAGGCTAGCGTTTTGAAAATTGGGAAGCAACGGTCATGCCAACAGCAATGTCCAATACTCCTACATCGCTGTTTTGGCTGTTGAGTTCCAAACAAGGAAAGTTTTAGCCTTAGATTCCTTCCAACGGTCAGGTCCTTACATCGCTGTTCAATACTTGAACATCGCTGTTTAGGTCTGACTTTGAAGGTGGAGTTTTGGCCTGACAGCGCTGTTGCTGGGTCAACATCGCTGTCCTGAAACTTTCTGCCAATGCACTATATTTTTTGGCTTAGGTTGGACAGCGCTGTAGGGTAGCCTACATCGCTGTTCCAGAAGTTTCTAGAAATCCAACCTTGGCTCAACAGCGATGTCTAGTGTGCAACATCGTTGTTGGAAGACTTAACGCCAAACAATGGTTTTCAGCTACTCAAGCCAGACAACGCTGTTGGGTGCACCAACATCGCTGTTGGGCTGGTTTAGCCAGACCCATGGTTGGTTTAGTCATGCCGTTAGCCGATGTTAAAAACGTAAGTTCTCCAAAATAAAAACTAAGTGTTGAAAACATTTGTTTATTGCATTTTGCTAAGAAATCAAGTGAAACAACTCAAAAACCACGTCATTTAGTTGAAAACCACGGCTAACCAAGTTTGTGTCGTTTTGCATGGTTTTCACTAAACGACCATAAACGAAAGGTGGTTTTTGAAGCGTTTTTGTTGGAGAACTGTTTAAATATGCCCAGAAGCAAAAACCAATCATAAAAAGTTAAAAACCACTTGGTTGGTTTGGATGCCCAAAAACCAATGCCGAAAGCCGAACGCCGGTTTCTGAAAGCCGAACGCCGGATGACTTGGTTTTTGGTTTGGGCGAACTCCAAGTGTTTTTAGCCAGGTTTAAAAACTTATGAAAAACATTTTTAAATTTGAAAAAAGGGTTTTGATGAATTGAGCCTAGAGAGCCAAGATTTGGAAGTTTGTGCCGGTCTTGATCACATTAAGACCGACTCGATGCAATTCTAATTCTTTGTTCTTGATTCTTGGTTCTTGGTTCACATGTCATCATGCCGTGTTTCTTCGCCTTGGTTTTGCTCACTTTAGCCTTGTTGTGTCACGGCGGTTTGGCATTATCAAAATCTGTCATAAAAACGAACACAGTTTAGTACGACGTAGGCGTAAACCCGTGTTCCAACAATTTCCCCCTTTTTGATAATGGCAAACAAGACGGGGATATGCATATTAAGGGATATTTGATTTTCAAAAAGTTGTGAAAAAGTTCCCCCTTAATTTGTGCTTAAAAGAAATTAGTCGGATTAAAATCAAACGGTCTCGTTTTTAGAGGCGTTCGCCCTTAGTATATGCATAGCCCTTTTCTTCCCCCTTTTGACATTAACAAAAAGATAAAAGATAACTTTTATTTATTGAAGATGGGAAATAGAGGAGTACAACGGAAGCATTAAGAGACATGATAATTAAAATAAAAGAGATAGAAATTCTAGGGGCGGCCTAGTCTTCGTCTTCGGTTTCCTCCTCGTCATCGTCGACGTCCATCTCATCACCGTCAACGGCGTCGTCGAACTCGTCCTCGTCCGGGGAGCTTGACGGGGCGTAGGAGCCATCCTCTTCGTCCTCGTCACCGTACACTTGCCCAAAGAACGTGCCATGGTACGGCGGGGGACGTAGTTAATGCGTTGGAAGTATGCGTTCATGGCGTGCCCTTGGCGTTGAACAGCCTCGTCGAGCCGCTCAAGGTAGCCATCCATCCCGTCAACTTTGAAGTGAAGCCGGTTGAGGGAGTCGGCGATGGAGGCAAGGTTGGCCCGGGCCTGGGGTTCGGCTGGGCCAGTAGCAGAACGGCGCCGTGGCACGGCAGTGGCAGGTCCGGCGTTGTCCGGCCGCTTCTGGAAGGTTTGGGTGCTGATCGCCCAAATCTTCGTGGCCTTCGTGAGTGGGCCAACGGTGGTGGTCACCTTGAACCGTTCAAGGATGTCCATCACCACGAACGGGTACGGGAGGAGGTGATCGTGGTCGGTGGACGCGGCAATCGTGATGGTGATCATGACAAACTTTGCCCAAATGATTGGGGCCGAGTGCATGATCGCATGGATGAGCTTGAGATCCTCACCGGACATAATTGTGTGGCCATGCTTCCGGGGCTTGATGATTCGAGACACGATGTAGAGAAGAAGCCGGCTCTCGGGGTTTGCGGAGTGAATGGTGGGGCGGCCCGAGGCATGGCGGATAAGCTCGGTGATGCCAAGCTCAGTGAGGATAAGGCCCTCGTTGTTGAGCACCCAGTCCTCTCCGCCATATTGGGAGACGTCGTCGCCTTGGTAGGGGAGGCCGGCGATGCGCCCAAGCTGCTCAACGGAAAACTCTATCGGTGTGCTCTTAACAAGAGAGTAGAGCACGTCGCCCTCACGCCGGAGGTTGGAGTAGAAGACCCGAATCAGCGCCGGGTTGATCTCCTTCCGAGCCCGGGAGACGAATGGCCAAAGGCCGGCTTGATGAAGCTGCGCGTCGAGGTCGTCGTAGCCCTGTAGCTCCGGGAAGCGCTCCAGGACGATCCGTGGGGGAGCCACAACCCGTTTAGAGAAGAACGTGAGAAAGCGGGTTCGCTCCTCCTCGGAATCGAACCAGAGGTACGACCCATCGCCGTAGTAGAGGCGTTCCTCGGTGGATGTCGTAGGCGCCCGGGATTTGGACTTTGATTTCCCGGAGGTGGCAGCCCTGCTCTTGTCCTTGCCCATTAAAAAAAACTCAAAAAGAGAAGAGTAGAGATGATGAAATAAGCAAAGATGTTGAAGAGAATTGTGTTTGTGTGTGTAAAAGTGAGGAGAGGGGGTCCCAATTTATAGAGAAAGAGGTCTCTAACGTCCAGATTTTCAAAAATATGGTTGTTGGATCAATTAATGCTGGTGCCAACGGATATTTTTTTTGAAAAATTTATCCAGAACAGCGATGTTCCAAAGGCTACATCGCTGTTGGGACAGCGCTGTTGAGCCTCTTGACAGCGCTGTTGTGCGTCAAGTTTTAAAAACAAATGTTAAATGGACAGCGATGTTGGGTACCCTACAGCGAGGTTCCTAAAGTTTCTGGAAATATGTAAGGGGTTGAACCCATTAGAACAGCGCTGTTGGGTTTACCTACATCGCTGTTTTACGATAGAGAAAAAATTTGTAAAAATGGACATCGATGTTGAAAGTGGGACACCGCTGTTTGAAAAGTTTCTGGTTTTGGTTGAAAACAAGGTGTTTTGGATAGACAGCGATGTTTTTTAAGAAGGAACATCGATGTTCAAAAAGTTTCTGGAAAGTGAAGAGTAAGGGACTCCCTGGGACAGCGCTGTTGGCTTGTTGTTCAGCGCTATTGGCACAAACTGGTTGACGGTGTTTCTCTCAACAGCGCTGTTGGGTCTCATGGACAGCGCTGTTTGCATGGTTCCCCCTGATTTTATGAACGGGGTACCTGCAAAAAAGGAAAAAAAATTCTCCGACGCTCAAGTTAGTAAACGTTTAACAAGTTTAGATGCACAACTTAGATCATCGTGGAGTCAAGGATTCCGAGTTCACTTCGAATGCGGAAGAACGACTCTTTCTCTAAAGGTTTTGTGAAAATGTCGGCTAATTGTTGTGTGTTTCAACAAACTCAATTTCGACATCACCTTTGAGAACATGATCTCTAATGAAATGATGCCTAATGTCAATGTGTTTCGTCCTTGAATGAAGAACGGGGTTCTTCGTCAAGCTTATGGCGCTAGTATTATCACAACGAAGAGGAACGTGATGTATCTAAGGCCATAGTCCACGAGTTGTTGCTTCATCCAAAGGATTTGAGCACAACAACTACCGGCGGCTACATATTCCGCTTCAGTTGTGGATAACGCAACACTGACTTGTTTCTTACTAAACCATGAGACTAGAGAGCTACCAAGTAAGTGGCAAGTCCCACTCGTGCTTTTACGGTCCAATTTGCAACCGGCAAAGTCCGAGTCGGAATAACCAGCGAGATGACACGAAGAGCCTTTTGGATACCACAGGCCAACGTTAACCATGCCAACAAGGTATTTCATGATTCGTTTCACCGCCGTTAAGTGCGATTCCTTCGGACATGATTGATACCTTGCGCAAAGGCATACGCTAAACATGATATCCGGCCTACTAGCGGTAAGATAGAGAAGGGATCCAATCATACCTCGATACTTTTTTACTTATATTTCTTTACCTTTCTCGTCTTTGTCTAGATGGTCGGACGTGCTCATCGGGGTCGCCATAGCTTTGGTGTTGTCCATTTCAAACCGTTTTAGGAGCTCCTTGCAATATTTAGTTTGACAAATGAACGTGCCATCATTCATTTGCTTGACTTGGAGTCCCAAAAAGAATGTGAGCTCACCCATCATCGACATTTCGAACTCGCTTGTCATTAACGTTGAGAATTCCTTGCACAAAGCCTCGTTAGTAGCGCCGAATATAATATCGTCTACATAAACTTGAACCAAAAGGATGTTATTGTTTTTACTCTTGATAAAAAGTGTAGTGTCAACCTTTCCCCTTTGGAAGCCACTATCCAAAAGAAATTTACTCTACCGTTCGTACCAAGCACGGGGTTCTTGCTTAAGACTATAGAGCGCTTTCTTGAGTTTGAAGACATGGTCCGGAAACTCAAAGTCTTCAAACCCCGGGGGCTGGTCAACATACACTTCCTCTTGAATAAAACCATTGAGGAAGGCACTCTTAACATCCATTTGATAAAGTTTAAAATCCATAGACGAAGCAAAAGCAAGAAGTAAACGAATAGCTTCTAAACGTGCTACAGGTGCATAAGTTTCTTCGAAATCAATGCCTTCTTCTTGATTGTAGCCTTTAGCTACGAGCCTAGCTTTGTTTCTAGTGATTATTCCATTTTCATCAAGTTTGTTACGGAACACCCATTTCGTACCAATAANCCCGGGGGCTGGTCAACATACACTTCCTCTTGAATAAAACCATTGAGGAAGGCACTCTTAACATCCATTTGATAAAGTTTAAAATCCATAGACGAAGCAAAAGCAAGAAGTAAACGAATAGCTTCTAAACGTGCTACAGGTGCATAAGTTTCTTCGAAATCAATGCCTTCTTCTTGATTGTAGCCTTTAGCTACGAGCCTAGCTTTGTTTCTAGTGATTATTCCATTTTCATCAAGTTTGTTACGGAACACCCATTTCGTACCAATAACCGTACGATCATCGGGTCTTGGCACCAATTCCCAAACGTCATTCCGTTTAAATTGGTTTAGCTCCTCTTGCATAGCCAAGGTCCAATGTTCATCGTTTATTGCTTCGGAAATGGTTGTAGGTTCAAATTGAGAAACAAAAGCCATATGTCCTACGGTGTCTCTAAGTGAGTTACGAGTACTTACCCCGCGGTTGATGCAACCGATTACCTGGTCAAGCGGGTGGTTCTTGTTTGTTCTCCATGCTATGGGAAGCTCGGTTGCTTCTTCTTCGTGTTCCTCTTGTTCTTCTTCTTCCTCTAGATTTTCTTCTTCACCTTGGTTAGTCGCTTGAGGTATCTCCCCAGTTTGCGGCTGTGTGTTGATGTATATTCCCGTGTTGTCTTCATCGTCATCAACGTGTATTTTCTCTAATGAATCTGCAAGATCATCACAAATATCCTTTCTCGCCAGGCGAGGATTATCTTCGGAAAATACAAGGTGAGGAGACTCCTCAATAGTCAAGGTACGTTTATTGAAGACTCTATAAGCCTTGCTACGTAATGCGTAACCCAGAAAAATTCCTTCATCCGACTTGGCATCAAATTTTCCTAAATTGTCTTTGCCATTGTTGTGAATAAAACATTTGCAACCAAAGACTCGAAGATGGGAAAGGTTTGGCTTTCTCCCTTTGTATAGTTCATAGGGCGTTTTCATGAGTATTGGTCGAATGACGGCTCGGTTTAACACGTAGCTCGCAGTACTCACGGCATCCGCCCAAAAATACTTAGGGATTTTTGCCTCATTGATCCTAGTTCTAGCCATCTCTTCGAGACATCTATTTTTACGTTCCACCACTCTATTTTGTTGTGGTGTACGTGGGGCTGAGAAGTTATGATCAATGCCAAGTTCGTCACACAAATCTGAAAACAGATTTCGTTCGAACTCTCCCCCATGGTCGCTTCTTATGGCTACTATGGTTGTTTCTTTTTCATTTTGAACTTTCTTAAAGAAATTTTTGAAAACGTGAAATGCCTCACTTTTATGAGTTAGAAACAAGGTCCATGTAAACCTAGAGTAGTCATCGACAATCACAAATGCAAAGTAATTGCCACCAAAACTCTTCGTTCTAGAAGGACCAAAGAGATCCATGTGCAAAAGTTGAAGCGGTCTAGACGTTGAAACAACGTTTTTAGACTTAAACGAAGCCCGAACTTGCTTCCCCTTTTAACATGCATCACATATGGTGTCTTTTTCAAACTTAAGTTTTGGGATGCCAATTACTAAGTCTTGTGAAACCAATTTGTTCAAAAGGTTCATGTTCATATGAGCTACCCTTTGGTGCCATAGCCAAGTGTCTTCCTCTTTACTCATGAGGCACTTAGCAAAGCCGGAAGGATATTTGTCTAAGTTAACCATATAAATGTTATCGATTCTATCACCACGTAGAATGACCTTATTGTCACTAAGGCGTTCTACAGTGCATGATTTTGAATCGAAGGTCACACGGTTTCCCTTGTTACATAATTGACTTATGCTCAAGAGATTGTGTTTAAGACCTTTGACTAGCAAGACATTATCTATTGACGAGTCTTCGGACTTACCTACTGAGCCGACGCCAATAAATTTTCCCTTGCTATTATCTCCAAAGACTACGTTTCCTCCTTTAGCGGGTTTGATTTGTAGGAACTTGGATGCATCTCCAGTCATGTGCTTGGAGCATCCGCTATCAAGGTACCAAAGTACACTTGACGCCTTCAAGCACACCTAAAAAAATGATTTAATAAGATTTAGGTACCCAAGTTTTTTTGGGTCCTTGAGTGTTAGGTGCAAAGTTGTGTGATTCATTTTGTGCCCAATGCCTATGCCTAGTAAAGCAAACGGGAGCTATATGTCCTACCCTATTGCAATAGTGACAAACTACGTTTGGGTTATGCATCCTCCTAGGTTGATAGTAGTTGCTAGGGGGCCTAACCGTATTCATCCTGTTTTGAAAAAAACTTGGTTTTTGAAAATTTTCCCTTCTAGGTGTTCTAGGATTATTATGTCTATTTGAAAAATTATTTTTATGCACAGAATTATTTTGATAACTTTTCCTAGGTTGTCTATCATGCACATTTTCATTCCTAGGTTTTTGTCTAGGTTGTCTAGTGTCCCTAGGTTGACTAGATTTTCTATTATCCTGATTTTTAACTTTCTTATGTTGAGCCTT